GGGGGGGGGGGGGAGGCTGATTCTGCATCACAGAACTCTTCCCCCCCCTTTTTTTGAGAAAGTGATTCAGCTGAGCGCTCCTGATCCGGAAATGTCTCAGCACCAGAGTCAAGTTCACAAGAAGCTGAATCAGGACCATCTGTGTCTCGGCAATAGGGACACAGTCACAGGATCCCAAGGGCTTTCTGCTGGTCTTTTCAGGATGATTAGCGGCGACCAGAATTTTGGAGTATTGATAAAAGCATGTTTGGGGTAAAAACTTATTTTCCATTCTGTGAGTTACAAAACCTGCTTTCCCATGGATAGGAAATGATTAGAGCAAGAGGATTTAATTACAAATTAGGCTTTCACCAGTGAGCCCGCTAGAAACACAGTAGACAGGCGAGCAAGCAACTCCAGGGCCCGCCGGGGAAACGGGAAGCGCGATGTCCGGGGGATTCTCTAGGGACCCGAGATGAGTCCGTGGGCGCCTCTGCCTTGGGGGCCGCGTCCCTGGCAGCAGCTCGCGCGAGGTCGCGCTCAGCCCCCCGCAAGCTGAGCTGCTCTCTGTTCCCCGCAGAACGAGGTGATCAGCCAGCAGCTGTGCGTCATCTTCACTCACTGCTACGGGCCCTACCCCATCCCCAAGCTCACGGAGATCAAGCGGAAGCAGACCTCGCGCCTGGGTGAGTGTGTCGCCGCCCGCCCGGTGGGTGCTGCTTTGTGCCTTCCAGGCGGGGCAGACGCGAACGCCATCAAGAAGGTGGCGGGTATTCCAGGGCAAGCAGGACAGACACCGGCGTCCGGCGGGTGGAGGTCAGCCTGTCACCTTGACTATGCGACAAAACTGAAGGCTAGACCTTAGGGAAAGTGTATCAGAGCATATACCCCTCGCTGCCTGTAATCCTCCACTTAGAGGAAGAATGCGACCCACCAATACCTTCCTCCTCTAACTGAAAGGTTACAGCGACAGCAAAGTCTCTGGAGCCCTGCGGGCAGGTAGATTCTAAAAGCAACCCAAGTGCCCATCAACAGTGGATAAAAAAGCTGTGGTACTTACATACAATGGAATATTACTCAGCCATCAAAAAGATGAAATCCTACCACGTGCAACAGGATGGATGGACCTAGAGGGTTTTATGCTAAGTGAAATAAATTAGAGAAAAACAAATACCATATGATTTCACTTACATGTGGAATCTAAAGAACAAAATAAATGAACAAACAAAACAGAAACAGATTCATAGATACAGAGAACAAACTGATGGTTGCCAGGTGGGAGGGGGTTGGGGAGCTGGGTGAAAAAGGTGAAGGGATTGAGAACTACAAATTACCAAATAGTCCTGGAGATACCAAGCACAGCATAGGGAATATAATCAATACTATTGTAATAACTATGTATGGGACCAGGTGGGTACTGGAAATATCGGGGGGAACACTTTATAAAGTATGTAACTGTCTAACTCCTATGCTGTACACTTGAAACTAATTCAAAATATTGAATGTAATGGGAAATGTTAAGGTGGGGGGGGAAAGGAGAGTCTCTTATGTAGAAATTTTGTTATTTTTAAAAAACATAATAAAACTGCCGGGCCAGTGTGGCTCAGCAGTTGAGCATAGGCCTAGGATCCAGGAGATCATGGTTCGATTCCCTGTCAGGGCACAAGCCTGGGTTGTGGGCTCGATCCCCAGTAGGGGGTGTGCAGGAGGCAGCGGGTCAATGACTCTCACCATTGATGTTTCTATCTCTCTCCCTCTCCCTTCCTCTCTCTGAAATCAATAAAGATATATTATAAATATATATATATAATAAAACCAATATTGGAGTGAAAAATAATAAAAGAAGCCTGAACTGTGCATGGCAGCTCCCCCCAGCTCTCCCTAAGGAGGGACGAGCAGGGGACAGTGACAGGCCGTGGTGTTCCTCTGGTGGAGTCCCCTGCAGGGAGCTAGGAGGAGAAGGGAACCAGTCCGTCGCCCCCCCCCTCCTTGACACACACACGAGGGGAACATACCTGAGCTGAGGAGACTGGATGCTCTGAATCCCAGCAGAGCAGCAGTAATCACTTTTATTCTTCTTGGACCCTTGCACTGAGCTTGCCCCAGCCGAGCACTTGACCGACCCTATCTCAGGTTATCCTCAGGCCACCACAGGAGGCAGGCATCGGGAGTCTGAACCAGGTTCACCGGAAGCCGTAATCCCACCATCCTGTGGTTTTAGCTTCTGGGATTTTCCAGGAGAAACCTTTCCATCCGGCACTGATTTCATTCGGAGGATCCTGGGGCCGCTGCAGCCAGCTTGACCAGCCCAGAAAAAAGACAAAGAAATAGTCAGCTGCCTTGAAACCTGAGCCATGAGCCTTCTGTCGCAGGGGCCTATCTCGATGCTGCACAGGGAGCCATGAAATATTAAAGACGGTTTAATATTTTAATATTAAAGGGTTCCTTTTCTAATGAAGGTTGGGACACTTTCCTGCTTCCTAGCTCCTTTTCCTACAAAGACTGGGAAACATTTGATCAATGGAAGCCTCTGAAAATTCTACTCTTTAGCAAAACCACTTTAGAAACAGGTGAGCTAGTTTAAGTGCGTGAAAAGGCTGAATTCATGGAGCTGTTTTAAACTACTTTTGTTCCTGGAATGAATAACTGGTTAATTGCAATGACCACTTTTTGCTAAATGGAGAATTTAGCAGCTGAGCCAAGGGTTACCTGTATTTTCTTTGCACCCATTCCTCTGAGCAAACCAGGATGTACCCAAACCATAAGTATTTCCACCCTTTAGAAAACAGGTGTTAGTTAAAATATTCGNCCACTTTTTGCTAAATGGAGAATTTAGCAGCTGAGCCAAGGGTTACCTGTTTTTTCTTTGCACCCATTCCTCTGAGCAAACCAGGATGTACCCAAACCACAAGTATTTCCACCCTTTAGAAAACAGGTGTTAGTTAAAATATTCAAAGTGCAACAAATTATAAAGACCAATCAAAGTAAGAGACTTTAGAGATTGAAGGTGACATTCCCACGACACAGCAATAACCTGACATAGAGGTGTCTTACGAGACGAGACACCCTTGTTAGAGCAAATATTTGCAAGGGCTGTTTTAATGGCACAGCATAAAATCTGCTTTTCTGTTGCTACAGGAGAGGAAGGAACTTTTTTTTTCCTCCTGAACCTGCTGAGATTTCTTTCGTCAGCAATTTTAAGGTCTTCGTTTTCTTGCCAAGCCTTGGAATTCCAAGGGTTAGAACAAGAGAAGAAAGGCAGGCCTCAAAGCTCACAATATGAAAGAAAAAGGGCAGAATACATGTATAATTATCAATAAATGGAATAGGGGACATGTAGCGTTTTGCATCTTCAACATAGCATTTCCAGCTAGGATGACTAAAAGTTGCCAAATAGTGGTTCCTTCAGGACCTGCTATAAAGGAAAGATAAGAATGATCAGTGACAAGGGTCCCAAACAGGCATCTCTATAGGGCCAGGCAGGTCATATAAATGAGTTAAATAGGCTCAGGGTAAGACAAGAGGGAGTGGCGGGGACTATGGCAAACTGCAGAGCACACGCCTGATTTTTTGTGATACATTGTCCTCCTGCCATTTCGATGAATTCTGGGAGAGAATAGTAAAAAGAGCTAAAGGGAGGAGATACTATAAATTTGGGAAGTAGGATGGAGGTGATTGGAGGTGGACAGTGGGAGTGAGAGAAAGTGAGCAGAGGGAGGCAGGTTGCTGAGAAGAGGGAGAAAGTCACTCCAAACTGTTAACAGTCTTTAAAGCAAGTAGAGAAGTGGGTTTTTGTTAACTCCGAGGCCTTCCTCTGTAGCCTCTCTTCCCTTTACCTGGATAGTTTTAGAAGTTTGGGGAGGGGGAATTCATAAAAAATTTTTGAAGGTAGTGGGATTACAGATGATTTTGACTTTTTATGCTTATTTGATATGTTTTACATTAAATCTTCTTAATAGGAAGAGGTAACAGAGAATACGAGTGGAGCACCACTGTCTGGGGCAGCACAGGGGCTGAGGGCTGAGTGAGGAGATTCAGCCAGGAAGGCCAATTCTGGGTCTAAGGCCTGGGCAAAAATGGGGCCAGACCAGGGGTTCAAGGTACAGTCAATCAGGGTGGGCCCATCAGCTGGGGTTCACAGTCCCCAGGAATCCAGGGGATTGGTTCCCTCCCTCAGTGGTTTAGGGCAGCCTAAACCCATAGGGAGCAGCTGGGTTTCCATTTCAGGACAAACCTTTAACCCCTGGGGAAGGGCCCATCAGCAACAAGCAGGTCCCTAGACTAAGAAGGGGCCTAATGTCCTTGACAGGCTCCTAGAACAAGATTCTGAAGCAATGGCCAAGGCACTCTTTCATTCATTCAAAAAACATTCATTGAGCATCTAGATCGGACCTGAAACCCAGGTACATGCCCTTAACTGGGAATTGAACCCACAACCCTTCGGTGCCCTGGCCAGTGCTCTAACTACTGAGCCACACCGGCCAGGGCAGGAAGCCTCTTTTTCATATCAGCTGGGAGTGCGATGGGTCCCCAGACTCAAGAACTTGAGTAATCTTCAATTTATAGACTCTTAAAGGTGCCCTGGCCGGTGTGGCGCAGTGGTTAGAATGTCAGCCTGAGCACCGGGGAGGGACAAACTGGCACCTTCAGCAGCCCCAGATCTAAATGGCTAAAATGACAGGCAAATGGGAGGATCCTGGTGCCTAACAGTGCAGGCCCTTGAGTCAGAACGTCTGTGTTGAAATCCTGGTTTCTTCACCTGTCACTAGCTTAAGCAAGTCACTGTAACATTTCATGCCTCAGTTTCCTCAACTACACACCTGGCAGCGTTCCCCATCCCCCAGGACGGAGGGAGCTTACATGTGTTAGTACCAGTTTGCACAGTGCCTGACACACCGTGAGTGCCCAAGAAGTACTGGTCCATCTTCCGTTATTATTGGAGACGAGGCAGGGACTGGCTCATTTGCCACTGACCCAGGGAAAGAAGGGCTTGGATTTTAAGTCACCTGGAACACGGTGGCCAGGGGGCAGCTTTTCTCAACTACTTCCATCAGCAGGGAGGCGACTGAGCGGGGTGGGTGACATTCTTAGAGGCCAGCTGGGCAGGTTTTACCTTTCACACCTGGCAGGCCTCTGAACTCAGTCTTCTGTGGGGAAATGCGACTGTTACCCACGAATAAGCTGTGAAGATCTCTGAAAAACTGCATTTTGGTGATCTGAGTGTTCCTTTGATTGCTCCTGTCTCCTGTTTGGTCACTGGCTCAGCCATGAGTGTTTCATCCCCTGGAATCCACACTTCACCCTTTTCTCCGCTAAAGCTCCCATTTTCCCTTTCCTGTTCTAGACCCTCATTTCCTCAACAATAAAGAAATGTCTGACGTCACCTTTCTGGTGGAAGGAAGACCATTTTATGCTCACAGAGTGCTGTTATTTACAGCCTCTCCAAGGTATGTACCGTTAGTTTGGAGAGCTCCGAAGTTCAGTTTTGGGGGTATCTCCACTAGCCTGGCAGATTATCTTCTCAAAATCAAGGGTTCGAGAGCATGGGGCATTTGTGCACCGTGTCCACAGCATCACTCACAAGAGCCAGAAGGGAGAAGCACCCCCGTGTCCATCAGTGGACGGATGGATAAACAGTGTGGGGTGTAGATTCCTTATTCCGCCTTGAAAAGGAAGGCTACGCGGATGAACCTTGGCAGTGTTAGGGAAAGCGAAGTAAGCCAGTCCCAAAAAGACAGTGCTGTGTGACTCCATTGATATGAGGGACTAGCGGAGTCGGATTCCTAGAGACAGAAAGCAGGATGGTGGTTCCCAGGGGCTGGGAGGGGGAGGGAGAGTTGGTGTTTAACGGGCACATGGTGAGGTCTAGAGATTGGTTGCACAACCATGTGAATATACTTAACATTCCTGTACGCTTAAAAACGGTTAAGATGGTAAATTTTATGTTTGTGCTTTTTACCTACAATTAAAAAACCACACAGATAGAGGGCAGTCGGCAGCATATGAAGCAGAGCCTGTGATTCTCCGCAGGTAGAGCACGTGGGCGGAGCTTGGGAGCCGAGTGTGAATTAGGTTTGAGGGCCCTGCGCCAGGTGCCCCCTGCAGTGCGCAGCCTGAGGCCCCACACGCAGCGGCCTGCAGGGCCTGCTCCCCAGGGGTCAGGGGGCTCTGGCATCAGCCGCCCAAACCTACAGGTCCTGAGTCTTCCTTCTCCCTGACTGTGGAGCTGATGGCAGCCTGACACCCTCCTGCCAGCTCCGTCACTGCCCTCCCTCCGCCTTTGGTTTGAGGTGAACTGGGTCGCCCGTGTAGAACCCCATCGTCCGGGGACCCGAGCAGGACGGTGAAGCTGCGCAGAGGAGAGGGCGATGCCTCCGGGGCGAGCAGGGAGAGAGGAGTCCGCCTCCAGGGCATTTGCGAAGGACTGTGCCTGACCAGCACTCCCTGGATCCTGAAGGCATCCCGGCACCCCCAGCGCCCCCAAACCAAATGCAGATCCCACACACCTGCTTTGCCGCCCCCCACATAGTTCTCGGTTGCGACACTAGAAAAACCGAATTGATACCGTGCGGATGTTAACAGTTTTGACAAAGGCACCGTGGTTGCCGTGTAGGGTGGTTAATAGCAGGGGGAACTGGGCGAAGGGTAGACGGGAACTCTCTGTACTATCTTTGCAACTCTTCTATAAATCTATAATTATTTCAAAGTTAAAAGTTTAATTAAAAAAAAGAACAGAGAGCTTATTCCTAAATATATCGAGCATCCGTGTGTTCCAATGACAGGGTCTCCACCCTCAAGGAGCATATAGTTTAGTCAGTCGCAGGAAAGTGCATCTAAACCCCAGACAGAAGGTCAGCCACAGGGAGAGCCCTGGGTAGTCAGCAGATACGATTAAATACCCCCATGCGTCAGGCAGGCATGGGCTCTGAGGGTGCAGCAGAAACGGAAAGGGCAGCAGCCCCTGGCACCTGGAGCGGGGGTGGTGTGGGAGGGGGACGGGCGGGATTGGAGGCCAGAGCTCAGGGAAGACTCCCTGGAGGAGGCAGCCTTTGTGATGGGCCCTGCAGCACGGGCGGGGTTTTCAAAGGTATCTGTCCTGTTGTCATCACCTGTTTGAGAAATAACACGGTTCTTTTCAGTTGAGTTTTAACTTCAGATTGGATTATGGTATCCTGCAGGGAGGGGGAGAGTTAAATTAGGAAATCTGTGACAATGTCGTCCTACGTCAGAGTCGGGATAAAAGAGCTGAGTTGTGGGTGAGTTTGTGAGTCTTTTTCTCTTTTTGTGTTCTTGTTGAGGTTCAAAGCGCTCCTCTCCAGCAAGCCAACAAATGACAGCACCTGCATAGAGATCGGTTATGTGAAGTACCCCATCTTTCAGGTGAGCCGCTGCTGTGGCCTGGACACCGTGGCGGTGGGCGCGGGGCACAGGTGCTTCCCTCTGGTCCTCGGCCTGTGGATTAGCCGCTGCAGCAAATCATCAGTCCCCTGCACGCCTGACCCCTTCCCATTTAACATCCATTCACCCCTACAGTGTTACTTGAGCACCTGCTATGTGCCTGACACTGCTGGGACCTGGGACATAGGGTTAAGGACAGTCCACTCCTGGGGACTCCCAGCCCAGAAGGGTAACTGAGTAATTAATTATAGTATAAGGTGGGGTGCGTGAGAGAGAGGAGTGAGCCAACGTGCTGTGGAACTCAGACCCCAATGTGACCTTGGACAAATCGCCCAACCTTTCTGAGCCTCAGTTTCCTCATCTAGTGAACGGGAGAGAGAGTATTCCAGGGGCAGAAACAGGATAAACATAAAGGCACAAAAGTGGGAAGTCACGTGGTCTGTTTGGGGGCACGGGATTATCAGTCCATCGGCTGGGTCTTCAGGTATATCGGAGACTGAAAAGACACGTTGGTGGGAGCCAAGTGGAGAGAAGACAGGCCAGATGCTTGCGCCTCCCTCCAGCATCAGCCCTGGTGCCCCAGATCCTGCTGTTCAGAGGGTTGCCAGGAAGACGCCAAGCCCTCACACTGCCCCCAAAGTCTGCATTCCACCATTAGAGGTGCACTTCTTTGGTTATGTTGAAACTTCAAAATAAGGAATTCTCCCCAAATAGCCGTAGGCAAAGCACTCTCTTCTCTGAGCCTCATTTCCCCATTTTAACAAGTTCACCATTGTCACCTCTGTGTGGGTCCTTGCAGAGACTAGCAAATAGGACCAACATGAGGAAACATTCAGCTTGGCACCTGGTGCTTCGTGGCAGTTTTTTTTAATCCTTACCTGAGGATTATTTTTTTCCATTGCTTTTTCAGAGGGAGTAGAAGGGGGAGAGAGAGAGAAACATCGATGTGAGAGAGACACAGTGATTGCTTGCCTCCTGCACTTGCCTGGACCCACGGCCATTTTTAAGTGGGTTGTTGTTTTCTAAGGCGTAACTGAGACACCTCCCTGCTAAGTGTAGGTCCCTGTTGAATAGGCTACTTTGGACCTAGCCTTGGGGAAAGGATGAAAGAGGTGCCAAGGCCAAGGCCCGCCTGGGTGAGCCGTCCCTCTGGGGTGGGGGGAGCAGAGAGGAGGCTGGAGCCCTAAGGTGGGACTGGGGAGGTGGCAGAGCCCCTCACCACATATTCTACTGAGAGCAAAGTGGCCACAGCCCTTTCTGGATGGCGTCAGATGCTGATTTTAAAAGTTCCCATGAAGCTGCTGCTTTGCCTTAGGATTAGGGGGTGGGAAGGGCAGTGAAGAAACCTTAATGGGGCTCCAACTGTGAATGAGGCACCGGCCGCTGCTTAGACATAGTTATCTGGATTATTCTTGCCATTTTCAGCGATAAAACAACTAAGTAAGGTCCAGAGAACTTACATGATGCACCCCCTAGTCCTAGTGCTAATTTAGCGACAGAGCCAGGATTCGAACGAACCTGTCAGGTGCCAAAGCCTTGGCGCCTGGTTCTGGAATATTCTTCTTAAATTGGAACAATGGTAAGAATGGGTCCTGGTTCTTGAGCACTTACTGTGTGTAAGGCTCAAGGCCAGTGGTTCACCACCTGGGCAGCTTTGACAATGCCCAGTAACCCGGCCATGAATCAGACCAGTTAGATCAGAATCTGGGCTGGGGCCAGGCATCAGGACTGTGAAGCCTCCGCCCTCCTCCCATCATCCCAGAGTGCAGCCAAGATGGACAACCAGTGCTTTGAGTTACAGTGGTTCTCAGACTTTTAACAGGCTTCACAATAACCAGCAGGCAGAGAAGGGCTTGTTAAAACACAGAAAACTTGTTACAATGCAGATTCCTGGGCCCTACCCCCAGAATTCTGATTCTGTAAGCCTGGGCTACAGCCTGAGAATTTGCATTTCTTACAAGAACCCGTGTGATGCAGACGGATGCTGCTGGTCCAGGGACCACACTGAGAACCACTGCTACCCATCGTCTCATTCAGCCCTTCCAGCTGCCCCTCCAGGGAGCTCTTCCCCCACCTTACAGATAGGACCTGGACTCAGAGAGGTGAAGGGAGTGGCCCAAGCTCCCACTGCTCATCACAGCCCAACTGAGGGTCAGACCCAGGCCTGACTGACCCCCAGACCTAATCTCTTAGCTGCCTCCCTGCTGTGAGGCCTTAGGCCCTCCCTAAAAGTCACCCCAGGCCTGAGGAAAGAAGCTGAGGCCCATTAGAGTTTGGAGCATGAGCTAAATGCTGGAAAAGGCACGTGTCCCCAGCTCTCTGAGTGCCCGGGAAGGGGACACGCACTTACACCATTAGGCCTGGGACTAATTGGGGAGGTTCTTAAAATAAGAACCTGTCTTGCAACAGGCAGTCAACAAATTCAACAGATCCACGGAATAAGAGACCATCACGGGAAAGCACACCCCAGAGCAATCAAGGCCTGTAATTGCTTCTGACTTGGGGAAGGCTTGCCGGCCACAAGAGCCTCAAGCTCCTGGCAGGGGCAGGGAGCAGGCCCCGGGGACTTTTCCCTGCGCCCGCCATCTTCCCCGTAAAAGAAGAAAGTCCTCATTTGTGGCTTGAAATAGGCCAAGTCGGGCTGAATCCAACCCAGAAGAGGCTCCCAGGGGCCTGTTCACTTCACTTCCATGCTGACAGAAGAATTTTAGTATATGAGGCTGCTCTGAGTTGCCTCCCTCCAAGACTGCTTAGCATCGGGCGCAGGAAAGCCAGACGCAGCTGAGGCTGCACCTGGACGGGCGTGCGCGCCATTTGAGGCCCTGCTTCTTGCAAGTTGGCAGCTGCCAAGAAAAACAACTCCATAACCAGGCCTTTGAGCCTAACGACGGTGCGTTTCACCCCCTTGCAGATAAGGCTTGTGCTGGCAAAATCTGGAGGTCACGTGGGACAGAGCCGTTTAAATGCCATTAGCCCCAGGATCTCCACTAAGGAGCAGAATTTCAGGCCTTGTGTAAATGAGAGAACAGGATGGAGAGTGCTGTGTAAATGGCCCTCAGGGTCGTTATTATTGGTTTGGCCTCTATTTAGGTTCTAGAAGAATAAATGGATTTCAATACAGCTTTGAGACGATTGTGTGTGTCGCTGACACTCTGCTTACTGTGTCCTTTCTTGCAGCTGGTCATGCAGTATCTCTACTACGGTGGCCCAGAGTCACTGCTCATTAAAAACAACGAGATAATGGAGGTAAGGCATCCACCGTGTCGTTTGGGGGGGTGGGGGAGACACGTGTCAGCAGGTCTACGGGCACCCGTGTTGGGTTTTCCTTTGGATGCAGGCTTTGGGGTCCTGCCTGACTTCTTGGACCTCCTGAACAGGAGTCTTCGCATCACCCCCTGGAAGGCTGGGTGCTCGGTGCACTAGCCCAACCCCTTTCAGTGAAACCCAGTTTTTACTGGCTTCAGGGGGTGGGATGAAGGAAATTTACTGAAGAGGCTGACACTCCAAACACAGCTGGGGCTCAGACACCGTCATCAGGAGCTATCCTTGGTGACTTGTCCCTGGTCATTTGTAAGAGAATTATATCTGAAAACATCCTTCAAGTCACAGGACTATCCCTGCCCAGAAGCTGGAAGCTGGTTCCAAAACTCTCCTGGCTTCATGAGATTGACCGCTCCTCACTCCCACAGCACCTTGGCCGCCCCTGACCCCATCTGCCTTTGGCGATTCAGCCTGTTCCAGGGGACCTGTTCCTGCTCCTTCCTAGAAGTGGAACCTTTGTCACTTTCCTACTCCAAGCTGAGAGCTTTGAACCAAAAGCCAAAATCACTCTGATCCTGAGCAAAAGAGACAGGAGCCCATTCAGGTGTCAGAAGTTCAGGGTGCCTGGCTGAACAGAGATGTCCAAACACTGGCAGTTGTTCACGAGGTGACCCCACGCAGTGGTTAAAACGTGAACTCTGGGCCAGACTGGGTTTCAATCCAGGCTCTGCCCCTTCTGAGCTGTGTGATCTGGGGCAAGTTATTTAACCTCTCTGAGCCTCAGTTTCCTCACCTGTAAAATGGAGGTAATAATATCTACCTCATTGGGTTTTCAGGATTTTAAGAGTTCCTGTGTAGTAGGTGCCTAGGACAGTGCCTGGCACATAGTGGGAGCCAGAGGGGCTGTGCACTCACCTTGTGGCCCTTTCTTTTCTCCGTGAAAGCTTCCGTGGCCACTCCCCCGCCCCCCAAAAGTTATTTTCTTGTCTCTCTGGACCGCCCCTCTGACACTTTTCTACCTCAGGACCAGGCTACGGTCTCAGGACACGGGCTCTTTTGTGAACATTTTTTAAAATTCTTTTCAAATAATGAACGTATATTAGATCATGTAAATAATACAGAAGGGCTTGTCAAAGCAGCAGCTCACCCCCCAGCCCTCTCCCCAAAGCCTGTCCCTTTGAACTGCTGTTTCAGCGCTCTCCCCGCCTCCCCAAGCCTGTGGCCTCTCAGCACACCCACCGAGCATCTCCCGGCCGCGCGCCCGCCCGCGGCGCTCTGGGCCCAGTACAGCAGCGATGCCAACGGGCGGACCCCTGCCCTCCAGACTCTGGGGAGGGCGACAGGCGTGACAGCATGTCTGGCGTGAGAGGGCTGTGGGGGAGAGAAAGGGTCGGGTACAGGCGGTGATGGAGGCGGTGGTCCGGGGCTTCTCTGAGGAAGTGATACTTGACTGGAGACCTAGATGAACCGGGAGCCAGCCACACCCATAACCATCGTGGTAAATAGTATCGTTCGCCCTTATTTCTGGGAAGAACCATTTTAGGCAGTTTGCTTGACCTCTGCTATAATAGATGTGAGTTTGGTTCGCTTGCACCCCCTCCCCT